GGATCTACATTGAATGAAGGTGATTATTATGATACCTGTCATACTGCGTTGACGTCGTACAGGGATTCATTAGTTATTATGTTCTACCTTACGAAGCACTCCGTATCTGGGTACTATTAGACTTTCAAGCTGCAAGAATATGGCTCAGCGTATGATCTGGAAAACCTGCTATTCTGTCTGTTTTTCCATCTGTCATATGTGCATACTGCGGTACAAAGATACCAGTGAGAAATGTGGTGCAGCTTGCCTTATTTACCTTGAGTGTCCTGTGGACTCTCAAGTTCGTATTGGGCTAGGAATCCCTGCCTAACCTCAAACTGAGTACTGTTCAAGGAGATCATGAAACCAAAGGGGCCAAGGGCCAGATTCCGAAGTTCTAATTCGATTTCAGCGAAAATCGTTCCTTTTAGAGTGGACTCGAGTCATAGCGAAGTATTAGTGCCATGTTCGTAAAGCTACCGCACTAGGCCTGACCAAGTGATACCATTCGCTATCAGATGCACACCATCCAGAATCTGTACAATGCGCCGAAACATGAAATTATGTGGACTCCTTAGATAGATACCAGAGTACCAGAAGGAGACTTTTGCTAAGCAAATAGTAATAATATTACTCTGTAATAATGGATGTACCAAGACTAACCCTCTGTCGATCCTTGCATTCCAATCCGGCGAAAACGCGATTCATGCCATGCCTCGTGGCGTGGTTCGGTTGCAGTTGCTCGCCAAGAAAGGGAATGCGGGCCTGCCTTCTGTGCAAACTAGAAGATTTAGGGGAAAGCACAGGGAATGAAGGGGACTAATCATGGGCTCGGGTTGGGCCATAATGGACTAGGAAGATAGATAGATATTAGTCTGCCAGGAGCAGCGACACATGGCTTGGTGGCTGGTTCATTGTCAAATAGGTGGACGGGGACATCGACAGCGGCATTGTTTCACGACACAGTTGATTATTGATGTCTCATGGATGATGCAACAGGAATATGCTGCATGGATGCATCTAGTCTCTAGGTGCAGCAAAATAGACATGGAAGAGTTCCTGGCGTCTTCGAAGGAAGAATGACAGTCGTTAATGGCCCATCCTAGTGGGTACAACTGGACCTTCTGGGCCACTTGGAATTCTGTTCATTTGCTCCCTCATCCCGTACCTTTTTTACATGAAAAATGGTCCTCGTCAGGAAGTCCAATAGTATCTCGAGGAGAAGAACTTCTGAGATATTAGAACAAATCAATAAGACATACCAAGGAGCGTCTTTTTGGGTGTTTTCTCTTAATGAAGATTACCTAGGTGACTACTCAGTATTAGGTAGACACTACCGAGTACGGAATCCTTAAGAACCAGGGGCAACTCTCGATAACCGCTCTGAAACATAAACATAACGAAATTATAGCAAAGTAGTCGATCTGATCCCGAGTTCTAACTGAATAGCTAAGAGAAATGGTGCCAAATTAGCCTTTCTCCGGTCGGGTCGCAAGCCTGGAACTTCTTGAATAATAATCGTTGTGCCCATCTCACTTGACACTTCTACTACTCCTACTCCGGAAGGCTTCCACTTCCACCTCCACCACCATTATTACGACTCAAAGCTAAGGTACTCCAACCTGCAGTCCCATCCCGGCTAACTCCTCCCCCCGCTTGGTTTCTGGCCCGTTCCATTGTCTGCTTGTCTTGTTGGACGACAGACATGTACTATCACTCCTATCTGTTGGCGACCGGTCTTCATCTCTTTCTTCCCTTCTTTGTTTCCCCCTCCATGATAGTCGGTCCGCTGTGCCCGAACTCCTTACTCTAGAGGACGCTCTCACACCGGTGTACGGGAATTGCTGCAAGAGACGTCGAATAGCCCCTGCTGGTTTCTTCGAGTAACTGCGAGTAACTGCTATTCCTACCCCTGCAGGATTGAGGAGCATCGCGGCCTGTCGGCATAGGAGTCCCCTTCTTTGTCGGGCCTTTTTGTCTCCGCCATTCGACCTATCCGAGACCCCAGAATCTCCGCCCATCAGGATCTGAGTCGGTTTCGGTTGCAGTTGAGCTATCGATATTGGCTTGTGATATTTTGGAATTTGTCGCGGCTGATTTTGCGATTACGACTCTGGATTCTCGCAAGCTATAGAGTCGGCTGCGTTGTCTCGAACTTTTCGACAATACCTCCCTCACAATCGGGAGTGCCCCCGATTCATTACACCGCAGGGCAGAGCAACGGTCTGCAACCCTTGATATATCAAAGCGACAGAAAGATATCGACTTCAGCATTTCTATAACAGAATCTGTGAAAGTACGTTTATACAAAGGAGCGCATGTGAGACAACTTCCCCGGTCAAGGTTATGTACTGACTTGTAACCAATAGAAGCACAGCCCTTCGAACGTACTTTCGGGTAGGTCGATAGATTTCCCCGAACACTGCCCATAATAAGCGCTTTCCTCGAACCTTCCTGCCAATTTCTATGCCTCGTATTATATTGAATCATTGATACATGTCTCGATGTCCTTTCGTTAAGTGGTTGCTTGGTGGAGTGCACGCAGTCTCCTGATTCAGCTTGTGAGAAACTCGCAATCTGCGTTGAAGATCTGATTTCGCGTGCGTTTTATCGATGCCATTCCACTGACCATATTTCTCCTGACTGCAGTTGCCTTGTCTCCTATCGCCACGCTTTATCGTCGACTACGGGAACCTACATCATGGGTTGCATGAGCTCCAAGCAGGCCGAAGCAGCGGATAAAGAAGCTGTTCAGCGGACAGCTCGGATAGACAAAACGCTGAAGAATGACAAGAAATTGATGGACAGGACAATCAAGATTCTTCTACTGGGTATGCCCCTGAAACGATACGGCGTATCCATAAGCTCGAACACACATACTGATGGTTCCTCGTAGGTGCTGGGGAGTCAGGTAAATCAACAATTATCAAACAAATGCGCATTATCCATTCAGGAGGGTTCCCTGAGGATGAGCGACGACAGACACGCGCGGTTATATACTCTAATCTAGTCATCGCATTCAAGGTCCTGCTGGATATTATGCGCGCAGAGCAGATTGATTTCGAACTCGACAATACAAAGGTAAACCAAAGGAGAACCCTCTATATTCCCCATCCAAGCTTTGGTCCGACTTGTGATACTAACCGTTGGTTTCACTTTCCAGCAATTGGCGGATTTCATAGACAATCTAGAGCCCGATGTAGGATCGGACGAAGCATTTTCAGATTACAAGGTCCGCGATGCGATGAGGGAGATGTGGGTTGACGGAGGGGTGCAAAAAGCTGTGTCTCGAGGTCACGAGTTTGCTTTACATGACAATTTGCAATAGTAGGTCTCGTCGACGGTATCTCGCTCACGAGTGATTACTTACTCTCTTCTAGCTTTTTCGGGTCCCTCGACCGGTTATTCAAGCCCGGATGGCTACCAGACAATCAGGACATGCTGCAGGCCCGTTTAAGGACAACTGGTATCACGGAGACTCTCTTCGAACTGGGGCAAATGAATTTCAGAATGATGGACGTTGGTGGGCAACGGTCTGAGCGCAAAAAATGGATACACTGTTTTGAAGGTGTCCAGTGCCTTCTTTTCATGGTCGCGCTATCTGGCTACGATCAGTGCTTAGTAGAGGATCAAAATGCCGTAAGTCGAATCCGAATCAGTGCTTCTGAAGAAGCATCTTATCTAACGCAAACGCAGAACCAAATGCACGAAGCAATGATGCTCTTCGAATCTTTGGTGAACGGAGAATGGTTCAAGCGCAAGCCCATCATTCTATTCCTGAACAAAATCGACCTTTTCAGGGGCAAACTTGAATTCTCACCGGTGTCAAAGCACTTTCCAGATTATAATGGTTCGAACTCGGATTTCGACGCCGCAGCGAGGTACTTCGCCGATAGATTCCGCGGTATCAACCGAATACCGGACCGTGAGATCTACATCCACTATACCAATGCTACAGACACAACGCTTCTGAAAGCGACTATGGAATCTGTACAGGACATGATCATCCAGAAGAATCTCCACACGCTCATCTTATGAGTATCCTCGGACCGAGACGATCGCTATTGACGAGGCTTACCGCCGACCCGAGACGCTGAATTTTCACTGCTTTTCATGGCTTCTTTCCCATTGCATATGAGAGCGTTCACATTCCTGGATTTTTCACCTCTTGCATATCCTTTATTCTGTATATCTTACCCTGTATATCTTATACCTGCCCATCTCTCCTTCCGCTCATTGAAGGGATCAATCGAAGGATTGTGGACTCTTCGCTACTTTGTCATGCTACATTACATGAAAGCTTATACAGCCTGGTATCTCATATCTGCTCATTTCAGCGATGGTACTTATGTCTATATACTGCTGGGTGATACCCATTCTTTCTATTTAAACGTTCCTTTGATTCCTTTTTTGGTATTTGGATACCTAATGATTGTTACTTATCACTTGTTCCTGTTCATATTTCCTGTATACTTCTTGTCTTCGTATCTCTTCCTCTATAGATTACTACTGAGTTTAGTATTGGGAATGAATAGAGGAATCGTTCAAATCATTATCAAAGTCGATTTTCAGGATAGTATGTGTGGTCTGCCGATCTAAGCTTCTGTCATTATTCAAGGCGAACAAACACTGAGGTTCAACTGTGGCAAAATATTATTCTCCCAGAGCCAATGACGAGATAGGTCTGAGGTTATAAAATGTAGCTATCTTAGTCCTATGGCGCATTCATCTCTAGTTCTACCTTACGTCATGAAAGTGCTATACTCTGCTGAACAAAGGCCAAGGAAACCGCAAGCATGGCTCTTGCGAAATTTTTTTGATGTATTCAGCTATCCAACTGGGTCGTGGCGCAGTATGTCCCATGTTGAGAATCTTTCTCTCGCCTTTGTTAGAAACTTGAGCAGAAACAAGGACCAGCAACTATGAAGACCATAACTGAATTGAGTCATGGCTGAGCCACGTGATTACGTAACGAGGCTTATGCCTGAGGCAGGAGTAGCTGACATAATCGCCATTTCCGCATGATCGATTCCGACTTCGAATTCGCCTTCAACATCTCTCGCCGGCTTCAAGCAAACTCCCTTACCCACTTGCTGGGTTACTCAGTTGTGCAAATGTTGCCATCCTCCGTTCGCCGGGCCGTGTGGACGCCCATCGGGACTATTTCCACCATCTCTCGAACATCCAGTCAAGCTCTTGCTTCGTCTTCGAATGGTTTCTTCGGCACGACCGAGCATGTGCGTCAACGCCGATACTCCTCCTCTTCCTCAAAGCCCAGCGATGGTTCAAGGAACATCGATGCTTCCTCTCAGACACCCGCGAAAGGCGTGAACTCTGGGGATAAGCGTGATGGTAAATCTTCGAAGCGGAGGGGAAAGGATGGCCGGAATGGCTCCAAGTCCAATCAGCATGCTGCGTTTTCGAGATTGCCCAGTGTTCCGTCAACGCAACATCTACAGCCACACGGTCAGTATTATGCTTGATATGCGGAGTCAACTATGTCACTTGTGACTTCGCATGTCTGTTTGACGCTATAGTTTCCAAACTGACTTGTTCGTCTTCCGGCAGATGTCCATGTGGCGTCATTCTTTTCCATTCATCGACCTATCTCCGTCTCTACCACTGTACCTCCACCTTCCAGCCCCGAAGCTTTTGATGCCATCTTCACCGCGAAGAAGCCCTCCAAGTCCGACCCGGCCGATGTGATTCTTACACTTTCCTCCGCCGTTCATAACATGGAGAACGCGGCGTACCTCGGCGAGCAAGAAGACCAGATGAACATCTTGGGTCGGGGCTTCAATGAGACGGAGGGCCTCGAAGGAATGAACATGTCCGAATTACGAATCTCTATCGAAGAACTCACCAAACGCCTGCGTCCCTTCCAACCCCCGCCACCTCCAGTGCCCTACGACGAGGCCAAGGATGCCAGCGCCGCCGAAGAGACCTCCAGCTTCTCGACTGTACTGACCATCCACGAGTCCACGCATTCAGACGGCCGCAAGACTTACCAAGCCCACGCTTCCCCGTTCGTCCCCACGCAGGACCTGGAGGCTCCCGGAGCCGGGGAGAACGATGCTATAATCGACATGCCCCACGGTTCGGAAAACTCGTACATCGAGCGCCTGCGCGAAAACAACACGTTGCATGCTATCAGCACCAGGAGACGACGCAAGCTGAAGATGAAGAAGCACAAGTTCAAGAAGCTGCTGCGCAGGACGAGAACCCTACGACGCAAGCTAGACAAGGCTTAAGGGTACTTCTCGCACCGCATTAGCTTCTTACATTTACCCCTCCCTCGTCTCTCTTCTCTTTCGTTGTTTCATCTTTCCTTGACCAACCACGACCCTGAGGAGCGTTGGGCCTGTCTCTTAACTGACGGGTCTTGCTCCCGTTTGCTTGACAATGCTTCCTCTCATAAGCTTTTGTTGACATAGTCCTTGTGGTATTTGTTTCCTCGATGATGCATAGTATCCAGCATTCCGGTATCAATAGACAATATCATTCCGTATACTATCCTCCGTCTAGAGCCATCACCGTAATGGCAGTATTTTACTTCACTCTTTCCACTTATGGTTTGAAATCCGCGTCCTATTCAGCTTGCCGACGTGTCGAGCTAAGATTGACCAAGGTAATGGCCGTCCTTCATCTCACCATTGCACGGATGGTCATCAGGTTTAACAAATGTATAGTTGCGATAGCAATGATATTCGAAAGCTGGAAAATGAGGAATAAGAATGCCAGCCAACCAACAAGAACATACATGGAAAATAACGGAAAAAAAAAAAGCAAAAACATTCAGCATTGCAAGGTAAATGACCCAGACTAGCTAGGATCACAACAACAAACTCGCATAAAGTACAAAGTTCACCGCGGATGTTGGCCCTGCGATGTATCTACCAGAGTCTGTGCACCAACCCCAATTTCCTAGTCTACATCTCTCGGCCGCCAACACATCAGCATTATGTCTGTTGTCCATTTATAGTTGAAGAGCCCGCAATCCACCTTCCTCGTTCAAGTCAGTTTTCGTACCTTAGCCTGGACAATGGACAGCAGATCCTGCTACCATGTCCGAGACATAAGGACAATTATCTCGTTACATGGTGTTTGAGCAACCCACATCCCAGAATGCGATTTGGTACACACAAAGAGGGCGGGGCTAATCTCGCTTGATACTGATTCAATCCTTCTCATTCGCGAGAGTCGATGGAGTGCTCGTTTAGCACTTGGCGTCGATTCTCGAGCGAGAGTTCATGAGAAGAGCAACGATAAGACCGTATAGACCTGCACAAAGAACGAGCGACGGTTAGTGATATGAAGCTACGCAAGAGTCACATGTCATGGCTACTCACCCAAGACTTCAGCGAAAATCAGAATCAGAATCATGCCGACATAAAGTCTGGGTTGCTGGGCGGTTCCGCGGACACCAGCGTCACCGACAATACCGATGGCAAAGCTGCAGTGGAGCAAGGTCAGTCGATGGCTAACAGAATTTAAGGAAGGAGTTCGTGGCGGAACATACCCAGCTGCCATACCGGCGAGACCGACGGCCAGACCTGCGCCCAACTGAATGAACCCTGTGTACAGAGGAACGCTCTGACCCAAGTCGTTTGCGATCAAGACGGATACGACCAGTCCATAGATACCAATGATACCAGCCATGACAATGGGTACGATGTCTATGGAAAGCCATCAGTTAATACACCCCGTATGTCAAACCGGTACGATGCCGAAAACATACTCTTAACAATCAGGTCGGGCCGGAGGACGGCCATCCCGCAGACACCGACACCAGCCTTGGCAGTTCCATAGGCAGCTCCGAAGCAGGTGAAGACAATGGCCGAAGTGCAGCCGAGAGCACCGAAGAAGGGCTATCAGAGTCAGTATTGACTGTATTTGAAGACGCGAGTGAGATTGCTCCAAGTGCTGGAGAAACAATGACGAAGCTATCCGTGGGGGTACGGAAAAGAGCTCTCGTTCCGGTGGCTGTGGAAGAGCGGAATACTCACAGCATAAACTGGGCTATTCAGGTGAAAGCATTAGCACTTGCGATCGGTTGCTGGAATTGATGCAGGGGTTGACTGGGATTCGAGCAGTAGCTAGTTGAAAAGGAGCAGATGAAGTGATTACGTACCAAAGTTCCGTGGCCATTTTGAAAGATCGAACCGGTCGGGCTATCAAAAATGTGATTTAAGAAGACTCAAAGAAATGTAGTGATCGACAACGGGTGATTTAAGGACTGCAGAAGCTATCGTTGCGATGATGCGAAGGCTTTGGGTTTCGAGATGGAGTTGGAGGTCAAGGCGAACAGGCTGGTTGCTTCGGAGAGGCTCAGCTACCATCTGCGCTGCCACGTGATTACGGCTTGGCAAATCGACAATAGTGGAGGGTCAAGTCAACCAGCATTAACCACGAGAAAAGTTTATGATTTTTCTAGGTAATGTTGCGTGAGATGGCCAGTAGAGTCTATTGTACAATATATACCCCTGTGGGCTTTTACATGTGTTTGAGTTCAGATATATCATGCCAAAGTCATCTCAATTCGACTTCCAGGAATATCACACTTGGTGCTGGTTCCAAGCACACCTCCCTTGGAGTTTGCCTCAATCTTGGGCTGGAAATATGTGATTGCTTTCTCTGATAGAGCGCCAAAATAGCGAGGAACGGCTATCAGATCTATGTGCTCAGTAGCCTCGGCTGCCGGCATATCTGCATCAGAAACCATACCGAAATGATACGAAACGCTCCCTTGAGGTAGCTCTGACAATGTTCGAAGGCCACTGTGCGTCTGGCCTGGCTCAACAGAAACGAAGAATTGAACGTAGTCGCCTGGACTAGCAACTTGTGACAGCGAAGACAAATCGTCCATTGCCATTGTAGGCTGCTCAAAGGGCAGTGGCTCTTTGACCGGGGTCCTGCCATCATCTGGGAATAAATGATCAAGGACTGACAGCTCTCCGTATTCTTTTGGTTCCAAAAAGCTTATCTCGGGATCCAATGACAGCAGTCCTTGCTTCTTACCCCATCCCCCTCCACCACTCATAACACGGTGAAGTTTGCCACCGGCCTGAATTGTTTGGATGAGGCGATCCTGAGCAGAAGTTGCGCTCGGTACAAAGTCGGTATCCGGCTTCTCGACCAAGGCCCAAACCGAGACCCTTTGGTCAGCAATATTGTGTTCTGCAATGTAACGGGGGAGCTCCTTCTCCAGTTCGGATGAAGCTGGCATCGGCTCGTCCGACCTGCCATCAACCTGCTTCGCAACCTGGCGGAGAATATTGCCCATGCTAGAAATGACTTTTCTTCTCAGACCGACAGGATATAGCGGAAGTCCACAAGAGGTTTGTAGACTCCTTGCAAAATTCGTTATTACACAGGTCGACAAGGAGATTGACCGATCTAAGACATATTTGTTTGCTGAAGAATCGTAAACCCAGCGCGTTCCGAGAAGAGTATTGTCATTACCATTGACAAAAATGGTGTTGGCGAGCCGCAGCCCGACCTCATGAACAGGCCTGCGAGTCTGATCAGATATACCGGGAATACTGGTCTCAATCGAGAACACAAGGGCGGCCTGTTCTATTCCCATTGTTCTGGCCCGGCGCGGCGCAGCAGCTTTTGCATTTATATCCTTTGCCTGCGCGATCGTGACTGTCAATCCTTCGGAGTCTGATATGACTCCATCGGAGTTTGTAGGTAGACGTGCATCCGGTATCCTATCGATGACAGCAAGGATAGCATGGATGGGACCTGGAGACGCTGACGTTGTAGGTATCGGGTAAAGTCTGTTCATCCACTGTTCGAGGAAGTGGCCGTCGGGGTCTATCCACTGAGCGAAAGAGGGAGTGGCAAGAAGGACCGGAACATTTCCTGTTTCTGCTAGCGATGAGGAGGATGCAGGTAAGCTCGAAAGAACATCGTCTGGAGTCTCTTGACTATTTAGCTAGCTGCTCAAAGGAGGAGAGCGAGAGCACTCACGATCTGCTCAGGCGTCTTTGTAAGCCATGTGTAGGCGAAGGGTAAATGATCGGGGGCCGCTGTGCTGGTAGTCTGAAAGCATCTTCGTGCTGTGCCGTTGTGTAGGTGATATGGGCTTTCCTTCCCTTGTACTCGACAGCATCTGCGCTGCTGGAGGGGGACTGACTTGATTGCCCACTGCCTTGACGTGGGGAGCGGGACGAGCCCGAGTCTCATCGCCATGAAAGCATGGACAAGGATGACCAGCAGATATGGATAAAAGTTGAGCTGGTGATAAGTGCCGAGTTGATAAATTGATAAATTCTGTATGCGGAGAACATCTTGCGGAGTTTAAGCTATCTTTCCCGAACGCCAAGACATGATACCCTGTAGAGAGAGATACAAAGGGTGAGAACGGCGAGGTAGGATTGATACCTCTATCATCATTTGTATATCATTCATCTGGAGCAAATATGTGAGTGCTAATACTACGTCCTCCTTCCATCTAGTATTGTGAGCTCTTCGCTATTTCCTCACCATTTGACATGCCGAGCGCACCAAGACCTCGAGAATGAAGCAAACTCCCAGGGGCAAGATAACCATTGAAGTCAACTGATGAGTGCTCAATTGATTCCATATAAATATTTGCCATCGGTAGAACTGATAGCATTCTAAGAATGAATTTATGATATCTCTCTCGCTTCAAGCACCTCTCTCCAGCGAACGAAAAATCTGCGAGATAGAGCTCGAGCTAGGGACAGTCCTGACGTAGGTCCAGGCAACAGGATTTAAACCACACTGCCACATAGACATAAGGTAGAGTACTCTTTCTCGTACCGAGTAATATTCCAATTTAAAGAGCGTCATGTGGCTAATATTTCTCAGCCACCTTTGTGATGGGATAAGCATAACTTCGAGTCACACGTAACATCAACGCAAAAGGCGCCCGAGGGTCCCCTTTCTTGTTCTACGATATTCCACTAAGCCGTGTTTCCCAAGTCCAATTTCCAACCCTGAGGGATCGCCAGCCTTACCAGATTAAGGTACCTATCTGAAGGACTCAAGGAAGGGTTCTAAGTAGGTACCGTTCCAGGCAGCGGAATATCAAATCGTCAACGGCAGCCATCCACCAATCAAGTCAGTCTGTACGGACATGAGCCACAGGTGGGCGGTACAAGCATGACGTAATGCTCAGCCTGCAAAAAGGGATGATGTATGTATGGGCTTGGTATGAGGCTATGGGATACTCAGCACGCAAATGTTGCGTTGGGAAAAAGAGTAAAAAGGTGACTTTGTATTAATATTGTCGCTAACATGGAAGATAACAATTTTAAAGAATTAATTAATAAAAATAGACGTCTATCGATTCCATATTAGCAAAAGTAACGCAAGGCAAAGACAAGATTGACTGACGTTAGTGGAGATACCTAGGTAGGTAAGGTACCTCAAGCAAGTCCTGAGGTTGCACTACCCTATGTGTTGCCGATGATTTAAGAAGCAGCTTCCGCCCTATTCCTTACCAACACTTTCCCCATCATTACTATCGCTGTCGCCTTTCTGAAATTACCTCTTCCTCACCTACTCAAATATCCATCATATTACTTCTTCGATATCTTCCCTTGTCACCCTTCAGACCACTAAATCAAGATGCCTTTCACTGCTTCGTAAGCTTCTCCCCTTGTTCCCTTGTTGCTTGTCTACGCCCATTGGTGGTACTCGCCCATGATAAGCGAACTTCAGCACTGAAAAAAAATTCACTGAGGGCGAAGAAGGTACTAATCGTTCTCTCGCTTTACAGTGACATTTGCAAGATCCTGTTTGCGATCATCCTGCCTCCTCTGGGTGTTTTCCTTGAGCGAGGATGTGGTGCTGATCTTCTGATCAACATCTGTCTGACCATCTTGGGTTGGATTCCTGGTATCATTCACGCCTTGTATGTACCCATCTCTTTTTGTGGTTGCCTAGCTTTCGGAGCTAACCGAGTTCGCAGCTACATCATATTCAAGTATTAGAGCACGCTCCACCACTAGTCGATCACCTTCATCCCTCTTGTGTCTATCTACCGAAAATCGCAAACGAAACCCCATCTCGCTTCATCACGTCGGCTGTTATGAATCCTAGATGCGAAAGAGAATGCGATCTCTACTGATACACTACGGATGATCAAAGAGCGGTGTCGTCAACATGGTTCCGTGGAGCGCCGGTCGAGATTAGCCCCACTAGTCTTGGCAGTTGCTGCTCAAATGCTGTGACTTGATCGTGCCATACCACCTTAATTTTTGCAATACGGCCTAATATCTTCTCCTCTATCCTCGTTATCTCCATTATTGCTCTGCGCTATGTTTCTTGTCTTCAACTCGGATGATACCAGCTCATTTCTCCCAGTGGGCTTCTGCTCTTGGTTTGTTATCTGTGTTTTTACGTGATCATGGCAATGACATGAATTATCGACCTACAAATCTTTGTTCAATAACGAGTTTAAACGCACAATCAGTTGTCTACAATTCTTTTTAAATGACTTTGTAGGTGTTATCTCCCATTCGATGGACAAATGCCGGAGATGGCAACCACTTCAGCTACGCGCAATCAGTCTCACAAAATTAATAAGTAGATTTCTGGTCTTCCTGGTACGTAGCATAAGATAGCCCAGTGTCAGGTCAAGATGCGGCCCAGTATCGCCAATAGATTTGCGCGGCAATGACTATGGAGTAATACAGTCAGAAGATCATAATTTCCACTGAATCTTGTCTACGTAGATCTCCCAAAATCCTACTAGAATCAGGCAACACCCACCTAACTATATACTTTGATCCTAGGGTCCCTTGAGCAGTTGGTCACAGTCAAGATGAAAGCATTTAGCACATACTGCATCAACAGCAGCTGCAGTTTCCTCGCTGTCAAAGTTATCTACTTGATTACAGTTCTGTCGATACTTAGGGTTGTATATCTTCTTCACGATGGGCCATTGGACTATAAAGGAAAAGTTACCAGAGAAACGGCGCATCATTACTGGCAATATATGAGGGTGCAAAAACTAAAAGGGTAAAACTAACTCGAATAGGAAAATCAGAGGTACCTGCATGGACAGCGCCAACACGGCGCGTATTCAGCAAGTCCTTCAACTCTTCTCCTACCGAAGCGCCAGCCTTTGCTCATGCTGTCTCGAACATATCTTTCATGTATTGGGCATGGCGTTAACTGTGTTTCATTTTCCATCAGAGCGCCTACAGACGCTCAGCCTCGCTGTCTTGTTTCATATATTGGGCTTCCGTGATGTGTAGCCAGTCAGCACCATGGCGAAAGGAGGCGAAAGGAGGCGACTTTTCCCATTTGACGCCGGCAACAGCGTCAGCAGGATGAGGAAGTGAGATGGACTGTAATGATGGCATCCATTTTACGCGCCATGTGGGCTTCGATCCTTCTTCTCTTTCTTTTTCCGTTTGCTTAACTCCAGATTCTTCAGCACCGGACTCATGAGCACCAGGCTCTTCCGTGTTTTTGTGTGCTGAGATATTTGAGAATGAAGCTACATCTTCACTCATGACTCCTGGGGTGTTAGTTCCTTTGCAGTGCGATTATCAAGGTGAGGATTGGTATGTCCAGCCGTCCCCATGCTTCAGATTCCTCTTGCAAACCCATATTCTTCAGCGCAAAGTTTCGTCAATCTGGATGCCTAAGTGGTCTGACCGGATTAGGAATGCTACAACATGCTCCTCGCCTTAGTTCGACGGAGCTTTGTCGCAGCGATCTCGTGCATATCATCATGTGTGGCACATGGCTCCCGTCACTCTCGACGTACGGCGTCCCTGGCCACCTCGCCGCTCGAGTCTATTCCAGGATGTGCTTTGAGCTGCGTCAAAATTTTCATAGAATCGGATTACCCAGCGAAGGCGTGCGCCAGCCTAGTCCTAGACTGCCTTTGCAGGACGAACACGAAGAGTGGTTATACCCTAGGCGAGGCAGCTTTGCGCTGCAACCTGTCCTTCTGTCCCATGACTGTGACCGAGAGCTCCGATGTCTATAACATCTGTGACTCGGTAGCTGGCGCCGTTCCAAAGACACATGCAACCATAACCGCCACAGTCATCTCCACTATCTACCCGACAACACAGAAAACCACAACAACATCACCATCAACATTATTGACCACATCAACCACAACAATGACCACAACAGATACCAAGGCTACTACATCGAGTTCTACATCATCCACGCTTGCCAGCTTTGAAACCCCTTTGATGGTAACGCACAGCGAACAAATATCCCCAAGTATTACTACCGATCAACCAGCATCGTCCACTTCTACTGCTAGAAGTAGCGGCCTCAACGCCGGTGCAGTAATTGGTGTTTCGGTCACGTCTGGAGTCGCTGGATTCTTCATTCTCGGGGTTATCATATTCTTCTGCTGCAGGAGGGTACGGCGTCAGCATGAGAAAGTCAAAGATCGAGATTTCTTCGAGATTGGAGGCGTCATGTCGGAACCTCCAGACTTTGGCTTACCACTTCCCCGACGTCCAAGTCAAGGCCCACCCAATCCTTCTTTTAGTGCAGGAAGCCAGCAATCCAGTTCCGAGAGTGCGAGGTTAATGTCGCCATTCAAGCCGGCAACCCGCAATCCAGCGGTCATCGTTACAGGTCCTGGTGATTATAATTTTGCATATGATAGTCCGGATAGGATCGGTTTCGCGGTGTCAACGAATTCCGAATTTGACGCTTCCCCAAGCCAGTCAGAGCGCACGGTTTCCGATTTATTACCGGATAAGCCAAACATGAACCTATATCCAAAGCCATTAAGATGGAGCAGCCACAAGCCCTTGAAACATATGAGTAGTGACACATTGTTCGAAGAGGATGCAGTGAGACCTAGAAGCCTTCTTGGGTCTTCGAGCCAAAACAAGGGTTCCATCGGTGGAACAAACGGACACAATGGCAGCCAGCAGTATAAACCAGCAATGGGCTTACCATCTAACCCGCGCGCAATGCTATATGGAATGGGCAACGCGTCGTTATCCAGGAAGAACGTTCGGTATGGAGCGAAGCCGGTCTTCGCCAATACTGGGGAAAGGATCGCGCACTACCAACAAGCAGAAATCTGCAATGATCCACGCTGGTATGCGGAGGTCCAAATGCCGGATCAGCAGGATTACGTGGACAGTCAATGGTTAAACCCACGCGCTGGGTACGGTCAGAGTGATGGGCGGCAGTTAACTCGTGGAGCCGCACGTCGGTCGGTCGAGCTGGTAACGCACGATGATCTCGTAAAAACCTCAGACGGCTTCGAGACCATCAGCCTCAATGACCGCTCGGAGCTCCGTCGAAAGTCTCGACATTCTGGCGACTTCAAGCCACTCACTCCAGTAAGGGAAGTAGTCACTCCGTCGGTTAACGCTGGCAAGAACGAGGGTGGGGGCTACTTTGATAGCGGTGCTACTGTGCCGAATCCCAGAATACCCTTCTCCGGGACAGCTCCTCCTGTGCAGGAAATCGTCTCCCGACCTCGGATTGTACGAGGTGATGATATCAAACGAGTGCAGATTCGCAAGGGCAAACCGCAATCCCAAGGACTGAGAATCCCATATTCTCCGAAGGATGGCTGGCTAGAGACCCGCGGTTCTCAAACTCAGTACTCCGACCTCAAGTCCAAGAAACTCCCGGTTGACCCCAGCTTTCCAGTGGAGAGTATGGCACCTGCTACGCCGCGGAGGAAACCAGTATCCTGGGGTCGCAACCTGACACCTGCACGGCGAGGCTCTGACCTGATTCTGCGCGTGGATTAGATCCTCTTTCCCTTTTCCTATTAAAGTCAAAGCGTTATGACTGTATCCACTTACTGCAGGCATTCTCCGGGAGAGGTTTCAACTTCCAGTATATATGCTAATAATACCCTGTACCATATCATCACATCAACATGTGTGCTCGTTTACTGCTTCTTCTCTATCGTCATCTTCATGTGTCCGAAATGAAACAGGGCTGGGCGGCTGGTTCCGCTCTGAGGAGGGAAACCGAATCATGTTCCAGGGACTTGCACGTTCTTGATGAAACTTTTTTCCCCTTACTCTCCCAGTGTAACAAAATATCAAATGATAGATTGAAAAGCATTAATCCGGAATCAAGAGCAGGATCTCAAATGACTATCCTCAGACCACAAACATTGAAAAGCGAGGTCAACTCATGCAACGATATCCTACCCTCCAGGTGCTGAGGCATATGTATAATATCCAGAGCCCCGATGCAGAGTGATCCTCAACCCTAACGCAAAATCATTCACCGAATTCTCATTCGGACCAAGTCAGTGGTATATGTGTACCTCGGAATACTTCATCATACAACCAAAATACTAAAGAAAGGACGTAACAGGTGGTGTCCTCGTCCAATCCAGAGGCGCCGTCACATGCAAAAGGGGAACTGTGGCTGAGAGAAGGAATGTGTATCTACTGCGTGGGTACTCCCTACGTGTACCTGAATTACCAGCCGTACTGCGTTGCAGGTCCCCACCATAAGACGGCTGTTGTTTCGTTTGAGGATGCTCTCTTTCTGTCCTGAACAAAACATCTCGGGGTCTGTATCAACAAGATGGACAATGTTAGATACATTCTTGCCGGTGCCTTGCCTATTGAGAGTTAAGAGCGTAAGGCACGGTCCTGTCCGTATAGTCCATACCTCAGCCTCCCTATCTCAAGTACAGATACCTCTGGATACCTTAGATATGTGTTATACTTCGGAGCTGAGCGCCCCGCCGACATGACGTCACCGCGTGGTGTGATCTCAAATTACTAAATTGTGCTCGGACGACGACGACGATGATTAGCTATGCGGACTGCAGACAACGAATAAATTAAATCTCTCACTGAGTCAGTCTTACCTCGAACTTAATATAGCATGGCCCTTGTTATCTGAGGCGGGATGCTGCCAATAAAGGGGTACCTCTCTGCGGACTCGGCGCGACATCATCGGCAACACAAGTATACGAGGGGTAGACGGAAAGGAATGCAGTGTCACCGCGGGAGGTAGGAGTGAGGTAAAGGACCAATGTAATTAGCCTATGCCTAGGGAAGGTTCACTATTATGGAGTAAGGTAGGATCAATATCGGCAGGGATGTGTTTGTTATGGAGGCTGATGCCAATCAGAAGTAAGTTTGTTTGAAGTCTCTGAGCCACTTCGGTAATCGTGCTTGGCCTACGAGGAGGGAGGCTGCCTTTCTCTTGATCTCACAGGTCTCTTATCTAAATAGTGTGCATGGGTTAGACAAGGAAAGCATACACTATACTGTAGAGTTGATCACTATAAAGCTCATCCATAATAATAATAGATGGAAATGGTCGCCTACAGTAGTAGAAGCAGAGAGGCTCCACTTGTTAACTTTACCACAGCCCGACTCACATCTGCCCTCTGACGGCGACAAATCCATTGTCCGTGTATTCGAAACGAATCAGATCTCAGACTCATTTCAGATGAATAGTGACGGCCGAGTCTGAACCAAGGTAGACGCATCCTGGCTGACTCCCATCTAGAAATGGAGGTTGAGTTGAAGGACGGTTGCGAATTATCTTCTACCCGGCCGTTTCGGATGGCGCAGAAATGGAGGCAAAGTCTGGGACCCAGTGGAGACCGTCATCCTCGAGTATGGGCGACATTGCATTGCAACAACAAATAACAATGCTCATGCTTCACCGCGATTGCACCAGATCGATTGAGCCGTCCATCCACGGTGGATAACGAAACCACGGACTGCATCAGCGGTGTCCGCTTGGGTTCTGATCTAAAGCATCTGTCCTCCACTCTGCCTCCCTCGAGTCCTCGACACTTGTATATGAATGGGCCTTGATCTCCATCTTCAGCTCGTTGCTCCATCATCTTCTTCCCATCCCCACACCTACTATCACTTTGGTTCCAACTCTCTTTCCTACATCTGTACCACTGGTATCAAGTCGGATACTGCTCCGCTTATCCCCACAGTTTCATCTCCGCATAGCGGAATCAGTTTCCTTCACTCTCCATTTATTTTGAAATCCTCCTCTCCAGGTCCACTTCCTTGAGAGAAGAGTGCCTTGGTGATCAGACTCGTCGTCCACACCCCTCAGCCCCCCTATTCTGCAGTGTAGTTGACTCTCTACTCTCACCAATCCATCATCGCCACCCGCTCTGATACGTACCACATTTCCCCAATCTCCTCAAGACTCGTCCAAAAATGGCTGCGACCTACGGCTCCGGCTCCCAGAGGGTGCGCCGGCTATCCAGCATTGATGCGACTCGGGCCGACCTGTATGGCGGACCTAACGTCGTCGTGCCGCCGAAGCATCTGATGGCCTCCAGCGATGCCCATGACACGGCCATTGAGATGGCGATGGCCAAGCAGCACCTGGATGAAGAAGTCTCCTCGGAAGAAGAGGCTCCTCGTGCCGCCTCACCCCTCACCAGGACTACCCGTAATCTCACGACAGCGGATGAATTCGCTCTGGCATTTGACATCGATGGTGTCCTCATCAGAGGAGGTCAAGCTATCCCCGAGGCTGTCGATGCGTTGAAATATATCAACGGGCAGAATCCGTATGGCGTCAAGATGTACGTTTTTCTTCCCGATAAGCTTCCAACGCATCATAGTTTACTAACTCCATAGTCTAGTCCCTACATCTTCGTAACGAATGGTGGAGGCAAGACCGAAGAGGAACGGTGTCTGGACCTCAGCCGGCAGCTCGAATTGGAGGTCTCACCCGGCCAATTCATTTGCGGACACACTCCCATGCGGGAGATGGCTGAGAAATACCACACAGTCCTCGTTGTCGGCGGCGAGGGTGAGAAGTGCCGGATCGTAGCCGAAGGTTACGGCTTCAAGGATGTCATCACCCCAGGCGACATCATCAAGACACGACAGGACACAACACCATTCCGAAAACTGACTGAAGAAGAGTACAACAACTCACGCTTCCGCGACTTTAGCAAGACGCCCATCGAGGCCATCTTCGTCTTCGCCGACAGCCGGGACTGGGCCGGAGATCAGCAGATCATCCTCGACGTCCTCATGTCGAAGAACGGATACCTAGGCACACGCTCGGAGACATTCGACGAAGGTCCTCCTATCTTCTTCTCCCACAACGACGTCGTCTGGTCCACCTCCCACGAGCACGTCCGCATTGGCATGGGTGCTCTCAGAGCCTCGCTCGAGGCCCTCTACAAGGCCGTCACCGGGAAGGAACTGACCACCGTCGCATTCGGCAAGCCCCAGCTCGGCACTTACGAGTTCGCAACCCGCCTCCTCCGCCAATGGCGCAAGGATACTCACGGCATCAACAAGCCCCCTTCCACCGTCTACTTCGTCGGAGACACCCCCGAGTCCGACATCCGCGGCACCAACGAGTTCGACCGCATCAGCGACTCCAACTGGTTCTCCATCCTTGTCAAGACGGGCGTGTACCAGGAAGGGACCATCCCGCGGTATCCGCCCAAGAAGACCTGCGCTAATGTGCTCGAGGCCGTCAAGTTCGCCATGAACCGCGAGATGTCGAAGCAGGTCGATGAGTCTGCCATTATCGAGGATGATGCCGATGTGGATTCCGGCATTGATTCGGAGTCAGCCGCGACGCACTAGTCCTGTGTCTGACTCGTCACCTTTATTTCGCCTTCGCCCTCAAATTGCACAGTCTATACCCCTCATACCTCAGATATCTCTTGAATCCGTCATCATCACCCCACTATCTTACATCCGACACCTATACCCCATCTTATTCTATCTATCCCACGTTTTTAATTCCCATATGCGACTCGGCTATTATGTTCCGGACTGTTCTGTTTTTTCGGTGACATTTCATCGCTTATAGATTCCCATTGGTTCGAGTTTGACTACTTAGGACTGAAGCTTTATAAATGCATGGATCAGATTACTTGTCTAAGTATCTTCAAATCTATCATTGAATTAGTATGTATCCGGATATATGCAAGCTCACAGTCCTACTCTATATTATCCCTGCTGAACAATCACACGCAACCAGACGAGTACAGGACTCGAAACGTAGAAATTCACAACCCTTGTAATTCAGCAACGTCATGGGCGGCTATACAAGGCTGAAGCTAAGCGGACCTAAAAAACGCCATCTATGGAATCATGCAGCCACAATGGACAGGGGTAACGGAAAGTCCACAAACGGCAATCCGAAGCCATAAAGTTAGTATCATCCTTGATATGCATGTCAGTTTCATTTGCGTATGGCAGTAAGAAAGCCGGGATGCGGAGGTGAGACTAGGCGCCACGGGAATGGTGGGCTGCACCAACAGCCAAGAAATGCAGGGAGCCTAGAATGGAACCATAGTCCTCACTGCCCCTTAATTTGACGATTCATGGTTGATTGCAGCGAATGGCCGCGGGGGTTGGAGACAGTCTCATGGCATATTCCAATGATTCCATGGGGTGTTCCACTTTTGGCCCACTTAATACCGCACAGATCAATCCCCGCGTTTCAGTGTGGGTATCACTCAATGTCAAATTCGTTGTCGAGCCAATGCTTCACGACGACTTTGCCCTCTTCGAATCCCTTTTTCGCCATTCGCACAATGATGGCTGCATGGCTGTGCGAGTGGTTATGGATCCATACCGGGTATTTTCGGAATCCCACGGAATTGAGTGATTCAATGATGGAGAATTGGGCTGGCGTTAGAGCCAGTGTGGAATCGCGTTTTGTGTCCGGAGACGTAGAAGAAGTCTCGTCTGGCGTATCTGTTTGATTTTCGATGGCCCCAGTCTTGCTGACGGCAGAAGTTCGTGGGAGTGATTTCGCCTTTCCGGCACGGTTACGAGCGTCTGGTAGGTAGTCTGGATCTTGCATAGCGGTCGCGCTCTCAAAGGCATCTTCGACTGCATTTTGCATGTCCTTCACAATAACAGGCACACGGTAGTTGGAGAGAAGTACTCCTGCCTTTCCGTCCTCGTGGAGGCGAATACGCTGGTGACTGCGGTACGTCTGTACAGCAGCATTTACGAGGTATAGTACAACGCCGATGGGGACAAACACAATGACGAGGAGCGAAATTGCCACTTGAGTTAACGTGCCTTTGATCTTTTGCCATAGCCTGGAAAAGAACGAGGGCAGCTGTTGTTTTTTCGGAGGCAGGAAGTAGTCATCAGGATCAATGACGACTGGCTCATAGCCCTTCACATAGTTGACGTTCAGGTTTTCTAGGTCCTGGAACGGGTTCGTCGTCGAAAGAGCGGTCGTAAAGAAAGCCGTCGAACGGTCGTTAGCGATATTCGCGTACACTGAACGATTTCTGAACTTCGCCAGAGCCTGAATGAAGATGCTATCCGGATCAGCGAGGATGCTAAGCAGTGGCCTTCCCGTATCTCGGAACACATCCACCATGAACATTTGCCTGCCGGACATGGACAGCGTCCGGGCGCCCAAGCCATTGAAAATATGGTCTCGAATACCCTTAAGTGGCATTCTCACACCGACATGTGGCGACACAAACGTGGTGAAATTGACAGGCTCCAGCTTGTCGAACCATCCTCGCGCGTGAAGCAAACCCAGCGCATATCTGGCGACTAGACCTCCTAGAGAATATCCGATAACGCTCAGTTTTTTGATATGGGTCCCTTCTGCGGCTAAGGCACCCAGAGTGTCTTCAACCTCGTGCGCCAGTCGCTCCCCTCCAAGCTCGATTCCATCGTATGTAAAATTCCCAGAATTTCCCTTCGCAGCGAGTATGTAGAGACGGTCTTCTCCGTATCGCTCTCTGAGAGACGCGGCCAGGTAGTCCAAATGGGATGGATTGCCCCAAAGCCTAGAATATGCATCGCCACAGTCAGTTTATCCATGTGTCTTAACGAAGAACGCCACGTGGCGGCAGGTGTAAGAGCAAGACTTACCCATGGACTAGGACACAAAGATGATCAACCCTCTGCGACATTTCATGAGATTGTTAGTGTTGTGAATTCCCTTCTGTGAGCAGTATAGCAGAAAAATAGCTTGAATTCCTGGCCATGGTCATAAGTTTAAATACCAGGTCATTTGCAACTTATCATCCTTCTGCCTGATCTCATTGATTACCGGAGATAAGGGGATCTTAGCGCCACCGGTGGCTGATGATCAAGTATGTTTGTTCTGTTTGCAACTTGCTCATCGCTTTGATAGGATTGCCGAAGACCAGAACACCTGCTCAAATGGCTCGTCCTAACCAACTCTGCGAATAATCCGCCGATTATATCGAGCTCGGGCTCCTATCAGCTGATAGATCCCTGTTTCTTGGACATCTATCATATCCCACTCCAGCCAGCTGAGGTGGCTGTTCTTCACGTTTTTCGGACGCGGGACACGCCTCCGTATCGCCCCGTTTTTGAAAGCGATGCTATGAATATATGAAAGTTGCTATTCTCAGCTTCATGTGCATAATAAGGATTAATGCGCTATCAGCGAAGAGTGCTCCTCAAAATCTACCTCGGGCATAATCATCCGACTCAATCCTAAGTAGGGTCAGCGACGAAGATGCGTCCTCAAGATCACTCTTAATTTGATATGGATTTCGACTCACTTGTTCGATCCAACCGAGCTCATTTTACTTTGACTACAGTCTCACTTCTCGAGATCTTCATTTGAACTTGATCGCCACCTGTATCAGTGTGACATCTACTTTGGTTGATACTGTATCATCATGTTTACACCTCTCGGGCTGTTCAAGGACGTTCCTTGTCCGGGAGGTCAACAATGCTCTCTCCTGACCTGCATATTTTCTCACAATCCTGCGAGCTCTTCGCTAGTTGATCAGAGCAATATTCAAGATACGCCTGTAGCACCAGAAGAGGCATATGAGTCAGGCCCGCCTCCGAAGAAGCCTAGGCTGGAGACTCCACCAAAGACTGCCGTGAAAAGAGCCCAAGCCTTGCCAGAGCCTAAAAGGGAATCTACAAAATCAGTCCCTGCTCCAAAGGCTGTGACGGGCAGCAAACCAGAACAAACAACTGGACGCGCTGGTCAGCTTCAGTCGATGACCCGCGAAGTCTCCCCTCCAACGTTGCGGAAAGAGTTTTCGCCAAAGAAAGATGCTCCTCCCGCATCTATGCAGGGCGAAGCGCGGTTACCACCTAGACGAGCTCCCCGAGAAAGTCTGAACCCGCGCATGCTCCCGAAGGCACCTGCGACTCATGGTGTGCGGCTATCCATATTGACAAAGCTTCACGCCGCTATGTGTGCCCTCAATGAGAAATTGGCAAAGGAGGAAGGGAGTACGGATAATCCATTAGTCTTATCTCCCAATGAACTTGTGACAATGGCGCTGGATGAAGAGGAGAAGGCAGCAAAAGATAACCCGGGCATATATGCGAACGTCATCAAACTTCGGATTGTTAAGCTCCCAAAACTGAGCTTAGAAGAATGGAAGAAGGAAGTGAAAGCTCATCTGAATGAGAGATATTATAAGATTGAGCCGGCCCAGCAGAACGCTCAGCAAAAGGCACTCGAAACTGGACTCAGTGCAAAGGAAGAAATTGCCGTTGCTAGCAAGCTGATCACACCTCTGGAAGGGCTCGAACAGTATGGTTATGTGACCAGGAAGCCTACCAAGGAAGAAGTCGAGAATGCACGGAGGGGAGTCAGCGAGTCAAAAGGCTGGGAGAAGTGCGATAGATGTGGCGGACGATTTCAAGTCTTTCCTGGCCGTCGTGAAGATGGCTCATTGACCACTGGAGGTCAATGCACATACCATCCTGGCAAGCCATACTACCCACCGAGAAGACAAACAGACCACATCACCGGTGCTAGAGAAGCATACTTTCCTTGCTGCAACGAGTCCATCGGAACTTCGTCTGGCTGTACCAAGGGAAACACGCATGTGTTCAAAGTATCTGAATCTAAACGCCTGGCGTCTATCCTTCAGTTCGAAGAGACACCAACCCAGGCCGATAAAGGGCCCCAGCAGCCGGTCTGTTTCGACTGCGAGATGGGATACACAACTCTCGGACTTGAGCTCATTCGTCTAACCGCGGTCAGCTGGCCTCAAGGAAAGCTCCTTTTGGACGTTCTCGTTCGACCCATGGGCGAAATTCTGGACCTCAACTCGCGCTTCTCAGGCGTGTTTCCCGAGCATTACAAAAAGGCAGTTCCCTATATTGGCACTAGCAGCCCTTCCGCTACTGAGGATGGCGCCTTGCAGGTTGTGGAATCACCAGCAGCGGCACGTGCGCTCCTATTCAAATTTCTACAACCTGATACGCCATTGATTGGCCATGCTATCGACAACGACCTCAACGCTTGCCGTATTATACATCCAACAATCATCGATACCGTGCTTCTCTACCCACACCCACGAGGGCTGCCGATTCGCATGGGCCTCAAAGCTCTCGTCAAGAAGTATCTGGATCGAGACATTCAAACAAAAGGCAGTCAAGGTCATGATTCCAAAGAAGACGCGATAGCCACCGGTGATTTGGTCAGGGTCAAAGCCGCTGAAACGTGGAAGATCTTGAAGTCCAAGGGATGGCGGATAGAGGGCAGCAAGCTCATACCTCCTCCTGGCGCAAAGGATGCGGCAGAGGATTCGAACCTTGGGCCTGGAGCCGGCCACAAAAGAAAGGATACGGAGTGATTTCTTGAAAGCAATGATACCCAAGGCAATTCTAAAATTAAGCATACACCGAGCATCTACGCAGACTTGAAGCATAGATTTTCGGGCAATAGTTCGAGTCAATTCATATCTACCAGTCATAGCGTCATGAGTAGAAGGAGGAAAACTCCCATAACTGACAAGCCCAACATAAACAGGCGAAACACAACCTTTTCAGGTATTGTGAGTCAACCCCGTCCTGGAGCCCAAACACCAGTAGCGGAACGTAATCCTTCATCGACCACGTCTATTACTCGAACAGACCCATAGCACATTCCCGTCTGAAAGAAGTTACTCCCCTCATGCGAGTGTCCATGAATCCAAAAGATTGGACTGTTTTGATTCGCTATTGAGGAATGATTTACTCCTCCTCCTCCTCGCCCTCGTCGTTAACGACGTTGTAGAAGCGGAGCTCGTAGACACCCTTGGAGGTGGAGACAACGCGCAGCCAGTCACGGAGCTGCTGCTTCTTGAGGTACTTCTTGGTCCTGCGCAACGTTAGGCCGGTCTTCTCGGGCTCAAAGCTGTGCACAATGGACTTACAGGTACTTGAGGTAGCGACCAGAGAAGGGGATGTGAGTGACAACCTCGATCTTGCCCTCACCAACCTGGGAGATGACAACATTGTCACCGAGGTTGCCGACACGGCCCTCGACCTTGATGCGGTCGTGGAGGAACTTCTCGAAGGCAGAGACATCGAAAATCTTGTCGCTTGCGGGCTGCGAAGCGTTGATGATGTACTAGAGGGATCAATGTTAGCATCCCATCAGTCGGGATGTTGAATCTTGAATGTGATCATTGCTTACCTTCTTGGTGACCTTCTGGGCCTTGCGACCACGAGCCTATTACCGAGAAAACAAAGCCATTAGCCTACTGTTCCATAAGTCGGATCCCGAGGAGGTCCATGATGAACATCTTCTGGCTTACAAACGCCGACTTGTGGAAAGTGCGCGATTGTAGACAAGAAGCGCATCATGTCCGGTCCTCATGGAGGAACAGCAAAGCAGTTTGTGGAGTGATAACATACAGCAACGGGGGCCATTGTGACTGATGGGGGTATTTTTTTGGGAGGATGAAGAGGGAGTATGTGGTCGCAAAGAGGTGATTATCCTGCGCCTTGAAGAGGAGTGTAGATGAAACTTTTCGCTTGCAGTGGAGTCTCTCTGTGATCGCATACGGTTGGCGGTGCGTGTGACTAAACTGATTGGGAAATAATTAGGGCTTGCACTTGAGTATAGGGCTAGCCGTATCAGCTGACCCTGCCGACTGAGCCTCGCTTGCCTCGCGAAAAGACGAGGCTAGCGTGCTAGTGCTGCACGGACCACTTTGGCCAAGTATATATACCCTCGCGGCCCCCCATCCTTTTAGACTTTTTTTCTTTTCTTCTTCAGCTCTCTTTGCCTTTTGGCTTAGATCAAGTGTAGTATCTGTTCTTTTCAGTTTAATCTCTGAAAGTGTTCTAAGGAACACAACATTGATTAATCTCATTTTTGGACCCAGTGGTGAGGCCTCTGTGCTTGCGCATGCCTCGCCACACAGTGTCATCGGGCTTACACTACCCCCGATAGACGCGAACTACCTTTTTTCATCAATCTGGCCGGCTTGTCTGACCGTTTGGAGAAGAAAATGGGGTTCTTCGGAGGTGTTCGCTTTGGACGTTGATGGCTGGCCTGTACCTGATCCTTATGATATCACATATGTAGTCTAAATGAAAGAAATGAGACTTAAAAATCCGCGCGAAAATTCTAGAAGCTTATCTGCTAGTTTCTCGTAGCGTATTAAGGAGCATCCAGGCTCAAGCTTGCAGTGCAAAACGAACCGACTGTCTGTATCGCACGTGACAGTAAGGTTGGGAAATCATCTACAACTGCAACCCATCTGCAATACTATCCTCTTTAGTAGCATCACAACATGGGTTCCGTTGTCTTGCCACATCTGCGCTCTGCCTGGCACGTCGATCAGGCTATTCTCTCGGAGGAGGACAGACTTGTGGTATGTAGCAGATTTCGTTCGGTTCCTTGACCAATTGACTGACGTCGGCCATTGGAACGTAGGTTATCAGATTTGGTCGGGATCATGACGTTGATTGTAGGCTTACTGCCCCTCTCTCTTTTCCGATGGACAATACTGATCTCCGGTAGGCATGCGCCAAGATGAAGTGCTCTTCAAGATCGCTGAGCGCGTGAAGAGTAAGTTCTCTTCTCTCAGCCATAGGTGATGGTACTGACATCTGCGATCAGACTTCGCGGTAATCTACCTCTGCGACATTGACGAGGTACCTGAATTCAACTCCATGTACGAGCTTTTCGATCCCATGACGATCATGTTCTTCTGGAGGAACAAACATATGATGTGCGATTTCGGCACGGGTAACAACAACAAGTTGAACTGGGTGCTCGAGGATAAGCAGGAGTTGATCGACATTATTGAAACCATCTACAAGGGTGCTAAGAAAGGGCGTGGTCTCGTCGTGAGTCCTAAAGGTAACTCTATCTTTGTTGTGGATCTCATTCGGGCTTGTAAACTAACGAATTTTCAGACTACTCGACTAGATATCGCTACTAGACGCTTTTGTTCGACTGGCTCTGTGTGTAGTCTTGCTCGAAGCAGACCTCATTCTCCTTTGTTTGAGAGGCTTCAGTTACTCCATGCCTTTCAGGTCTATCTTTCCATTTATGAGATGCGACTATGAATCATGAAATTTACTATGACATCTTGTTCCGTGTCAATATCCACTTTGTAGGACTGGTTGAGAACACTTCTATGCTTGCTCATTTCAAGTAAATAGAACTACAATGACGACATGATATTATGTGTTGCGTTACCGGAGCTGTTCTGACCAACGTATGCCAGCGCAGCCAGTATCTATTTGTGCACCTAACCAACTGCAGGATGGATACCGTGATTTGGAAGTTTGCAAGATCTCTCAATAATTTTTTATAGATCATTCAAAATTCTAATCTTTAGATTTAATCTGTCTGGTTACCACGAATTTATCTAGGGTATGGAGTAGTCAAGATAAGGCTTCGAAGTAGCCATCTTGAAAGTGCTGATAATCGTAGTACTGTGCACCTAGCCCTAAACAAGGTGCTTTCGAATTAGGTTTCTGAAGTTACCAGAATGCGGCAGTCACAAGGTTCCCTACCTTGATAACTGAAAAATGGGTGATTCCCTCTTGTGGTCACGTGATGCAGTTGGGTTCCTTACCTATATTAATATTAACCAACCTCATGCTGACCATCGACAAATGTCAAGTCCAGGATGGCACTTGGTCCTTGGATTGGACCACTGTGGCTATTTCTGACGACATGGGTTACTTTCAAGAATTGGATATGGTCTTGGATGCCTTCATTGCCACGCCTAATCTCTAGGCCCCCTGTTGGAAATGTTGAAACGGTACGATATATTCCCTCGCTTTGTCTGCCAAAGACTTCCCTGACTATTCAACAATTGGGAGAATCAAATTTAAGCGAGGAGCATTTGAATGAGATTGGACACGACAAGGTCCATTCCAGTACAAGGGACGCTCAAGGCCAGTTATCTCGGGAGGGATCACCGGGATAGTGGAGCTCCTTGATGATGGGACTGCACTCAAGTCACTGTTTCCTGATTCTGAGATTGAAAGCCATATCTTAGACATCACCAAAGAAGCCACCATCTATCGTGTATTGGACCACATAAGAGGTTTGTTCGACTACTGGGTCATTCCAGGGATGGTCTCGTACTCGAATATATGCAAAATGGTGATCTCAGGACATATCTCCAAGCTCATGATTCAATATCGATGAGCTCCAAATTGAAGTGGGCATGCCAAGTTGCGGAGGCTGTCGACCTCTTACATAAGAACGGCGTAATCCATGCGACATAAAACCACGAAACTTCCTCTTGGACACGGCTCTCGACATCAGTATCATTGACTTCTCTGGCTCTCATTAGATGGGTCGAAGCCAGCGTCTGGTGAGGGCACCAGGTTTTTTCTTCCACGGCACTGGAGAGATCAACCCACGGAGACCACAGATCTATTCGCACTAGGGTCGACCCTTTACGAGCTTTTTCAAGGTACCAGTCCGTACGAGGAGGTACCTAGTGACGAGGTAGAAAACCTTTTTACACAGAAAGTGTTCCCTGATGTCTCCGGTATTCCATGTCGACAGATCATCAAACAATGTTGGCTATCCCAAGTCGATTCGGCGGCGCATGTGCAGACTGCTATCGGGGATATCCTTTTCCGCGCAGTCAACGTCGACTGTACCCCTCATCTCGATTGGCCAGTATGCGTTGATTGACCAAGTGGCCTCTCCTTAGGATTGGGACAATCCACTCCAGTCTGTCTTGCTGGGGGACATCTGCTTAGAGTTCTTGAAGTCGTGTCGCATGTTGACGGACAGCCACGGTAATGTTTCTTAGACACAAGGATGTCGCACATTCTAGAAGCTTTCTGTTATCAACTATCAAGAATGAGCTCTATCTGAAGGTGTAATACCTTGAGTGCTCTTGCGGGCCACCGGCCAGAGAGGCGGTGATGGAAGATGTGAAAAGATAACACCATTCTAAAAGAGCCATGTAATTATAGCTCAATGGCAGGACCTTCTTCTTGTCATAGCTAAATAATAGACAGGCAAAAGTGGGTTAGTGATGCTTATCTAAAAGGGCTAAACAGTATACGACATGTTATGTAGGCTATTCAAGGACTGCTTCATTATTGGTCAGGTAAGGGAGGTATTACTAGGACCTACCAGGGGTTACTATATCCTGTTGCTTTATCAGTATCCTATTCATACATACTGTTATAGTCTATGCATTAAAAGCCCTCTCTAATCATAAAAGTTGATTCGTTTTATGGGACTGTCGAAAGCCTCCGTAAGTACACCTGCCAACTAAATAATAGATATTACCCATGTATAACATCTGTGGCCTGTCGCCAGAAAAGCACTGTCAGAAGAAGGCTGAATTATGATCACTAATCTTTAACTTGCAATGGGATAAACATGGATGCTCTCCTACTAATGGCACGTCTTACACTAAGTAAGCCTATCTAACTGGATTCCTTGGTATTTATATTCTCCCTCCTATCAATTGTTGACATGGATCTAAAATATATGGATTAGGCTGGCATGTACCAGTTGACTGTTTGTGTATTCCGTAGCTTAAATCTTCGCCCCACAGTTTCTTCACCACTTTCTGTTGACGTAACAATCTAGCGGACGACGCAACAGCTCGATCAGACATTGAAGTAGTAGCAACAGCGAACCTGAGATACCTACAACATTCTAAAAATGATTGATAACGCGATATTTGAGAATCTTCAAGCGAAGATTGACGAAGAGACCGCCGTCCGTGATGTAAGGTCCAGAGGAGCTCAGAAGCTCGACGTACCAAAGCTCAAGTAATGAAGAAAGCTAATGCCCGCGCAGGAACTCCACGAAATTGTCCAGACGCTTTCTAAGAAAGGTGCTATCCTTAATCTCTACCATCTGGACCTTTGTGCCTCCTGGTTGAGGCAAGGTCGCAATCTCCGAGCTCAGCTGACGTACATGATTGCGCACAGGAAGATCCACACAAGCTATCCTCTCCCGAGCTCACTCCACGCCATCGGACCAATGTATGTATCTGTCCGTTAGCATATATGCTCTGTTAATTGACATTGAACAGTGAAGCCGGTTCTTGATGATGCGACTAGAGAGATAATCGCTCAAAGAGATGAAGTTGCGCGGCTCAAGACCGTGGCAGACAAGCACCCCTTCTACAAGTACAACGGGGTGTGGACGAGAGAGTTGCAGAATCTTGTTAGTCGCCTTCAAAATCCTTGTACAGTGAGAATTGCTAAGTTTCGAGACAGGTAACGTCGATCGAGTTATGTGCGTGGCTGGGAGGGCTCGAGGAGTTCAAGGGTACCGGCTCTTCTTCGTTCTTGACCATCGAGGAAGTGGGGAAGTTCCTGAATGGTAGATCATCTTCTGCACTTTGTTCGTGAAATTAGCTTTATTCTGACGCGGTGCATGCTAGTTCCGGTCAATCTGAAAGAGCAAGATGCTTTTCACCTGACCATTGAAGAATATCTCCTGGCACTCATCGGCATGGTTGAGGAATTAGTAGGCATCATTCTTCATTGGCCTTGCGGCGTGAGAGATACTGACTCCGATCAGTCACGTCTAGCAGTCAACTCGGTCACTCTTGGTGATTACAACCGCCCTGTTCAAATCGGTAAATTTATCAAGGATCTGTTCGCTGGTTTCCAGCTGCTCAACTTAAAAAACGATATTCTGCGAAAGAGGAGTGATGGGATCAAGTACAGCGTAAGTTGCTTTTACTCTCTGGTTCTTATTTGAGTATGCTTGGCTAATGGACATTCGGCTGTAGGTCAAGAAGGTTGAAGATGTGGTTTATGATCTGTCGTTGCGCAATCTGATTCCCAAGGGAAGTGCCGCGGCTTAGATACTACTATGCGATAGGGATTACGGTCCAAGAAATGCAAAACAATTGCGCAAGGTGGAAAGCCAGCAACATTACTTTATAGGCTCTGTAGCAGGCATTCTTGAATCTTATAAGCGGACCCCTCGTACTGAAGACTCTGTACTAGTCGAATGAATTGCCGAACCATATCACATTATTCTGCCCAACGAAGCTGAAAACATCAAACTGAAAGCTCATTCAATAGAGGTATCGTAAACACGAATAATATAATCCCAAATGGTATCTCTGCAAATAGCCCACCATCATTCCTTCACCCCCAGGAACACTACGACAATTTAGCCTGCTCAGTAGCCTGCTCAGTAGCCTGCTCGGTAGCCTTTCCCTCACCCTTCCTCGTCGAAGCGGCCGTCCCCTCCTTCTGAGCCTTCTCAATCTCCTTCAGAATCGTTGCTTCCAGCGACTCAGGCTTGGTAATACTAGCCCAGCGCCCAACGACCTTCCCATCAGCGGAAACCAAAAACTTCTCGAAATTCCACTTGACGCGCTTCAGCCCCATAAGTCCAGGCATCGTCTCCTTCATCCACGTCCACACGGGCGCTGCATTGTCGCCGTTGACATCCAACTTGCCCAGCACGGGGAAGGTGACGCCGTAGTTGACCTGGCAGAAGGACTGGATCTCGTCGTTGGAGCCGGGGTCTTGGCTGCCGAACTGGTTGCAGGGGAAGCCGAGAATGGTGAAGTCTTCGGGGTGCTTGGCTTTGATGGACTGGTAGAGGTTCTCGAGGCCTTTGAATTGAGGAGTGAAGCCGCATTTGGAGGCGGTGTTGACGACGAGGACGACTTTGCCTTTGAGGGAGGCAAGGTCGAAGGGTTCGCCCTTCTCTGTGGTGAGGTTAGGTCAGCAAGACATTCTCAATGTTTCTTTCTTTCGCGGGGTTGCGAAGGGAATCGCAAATGCTAGACATACTGTCGACGGGCTTGAAGTCGTAGAATGTCGTCGCGGATGCCATTGTTCTGATGAAATGGGATTTAGGATATCGAACAAGGGACGTTACAGTGTTGGGGAGTCTTGTTATAGGGCTTGGTCGCGAAATATATGGCAAGGAGGAACAGCGAAATATAATAGAAGAAGCCGATAGTGATGAAGGCACTGATACCATTCTAGATCATCAGAGAACCGAGGCAGCTCGGAAGGTGAGCCGTCGCGTTATATAATTGCACGACCGTTGAGACCCTGAGAGGGGCTGCCGTCGGACATTAGACCATCCGACGCCGATGACGATGTCATCGGCCGATTGAGGGATAATTATCAGATTGCGCCAGACAAAGAATAAGCAACCAATTCCAAATCATTTACATTAGTCTTAAGACGGATATTGCAGTCCCGAATTCTTCTCGCTGACCTTTTGTCATCGCGACGGGTCTAGACATCGGAGATTGATTTCTGCAGAGGCTGGGCCAAGGCTATTACAACCACCGCTTATTAATGTCTGGATAGTTCACTCGTTGTGGCATTCATATTTAAGTCATAAAAATCGTTATCACTGGGACCATTGCATAATGTATGTAAAGGTGGCTGCGTGAAGCCACACTGACTTAGTGCATGCATGTGGCATGGGATTTAAAATGTCCGAGGGCACGCCAAGTACTCTTAGGCACTGCCACACAGTCTTTCATGATAGAAATGTATAGCCACAAATTAATCAATTAAATCATGAATCATTTGCATGTCAGATTCTATAGCTTTCTTGCAGGTCACAGAGGAACCATACACCCAGCAAGAATGCAAGCAGATCTCTCTGAACAACGCTCACGCGGCACACGATGGTATCGTAGCGACTTCTCAGATGCGAGATCGTTGATGGATGATAGACCATTTGGGTAACCCAACAGCATCAGCCCATGTACTTGCGCACATTCTCGCACGTGGTAAGCTGTGTCCGATAGTACATCCCTTCTGAACTCTGGCAACTTCAAATGTCTGGGTCATCGCAGCGAAAACTGGCCAGTTCGGCGTATCCCAAGCCAGATCCCGGGAGCAGGAACGCAGGAAGCCAACCGGATCGCCTTGATCAATGATAGCGTAGGCGCTGCACACGTAGTGACTAAGGGCCACAAATGATCGCGTCTCTCATCGCTTCTTCGTGGCGGTTATGCCTCATTTCTCCTCCTCCATCTCCTCACTCAAAACATCCACATCCAACTCCTCCATAACTCCGAGCACAACCCCCAAGCTCTCCATGAACCCGTTAACAGCCACACGAAGCATGCGATTCGTCGTAGCGCGGTACGTCGTCTCAAGGACTGTCTTTGCCGCCTCGTCCTCGTCGGTGCTGGAGTTCTGAACTGGAGATCTCAGGGCAAAACTGCGGCGGACGAAGGGGGATAATTCGGCGTCGACTTCAAGGGCTTGGAGGGCAGAGGAGGCGAGGCGGTTGCTGTGGAGGGGCAGGGATATTGTTCTTTTGGTTTGGATTTCGTTAGTGGGGTGTGTTTCATGGACAGGGACGCTGAGGGAGGAGTTTTACAGTGAATAAGGAAATTCAGGATTGGTTGATTTGTTGGCAGCCATGTTGAATTCAATCGAATCAACTGACTATGTGAATATCCAAGGACTACTGTTCGGTATGATTTCGTATAATCCTTATTAGAGAGCGTAAGGCGGGGAAGTTTTTGGAGTAGCAGATGAGTCAGCAAATTGGTGAAGTGCAGTCAATGAGTACACACTTTCCACCACATTTTCATATCACTTCAGCTACGAACTCTAGCTTGACGGCTATTCAGGCTTTGTTAACAATTGGCTAATGAGATGGTGCTCTATGGTCAAGCCTATCATACGACTAATGCAATATGTGTCTTCTACAGTCTTAAATGAGGTTGAACATAAATGTATGAACTTGATAAGGTACTGTACATGAAGCTTATCCACAAGATCCAGCGCCGTTTGGCAGATCAAAACGAACCGAAGGCGTGAAGTTAAAGAGTCGCGCTATACACCCATATGGTCATGGTATCACGGGGTTTCTCGAGGTACATAATGCGTTCACTAAGGTAGGTATTGGATTTAAAGGAGCCCCGCGAGGACGTAGGTGAGAGAAGTAGGGTTGAGGCCACCTATGGACGCATTTAGTAAGCTTAGCCATCGCTGTTTGAGAAAAGCAACTTACCAGCCTGGCCGACAGTGGTGAGGACGTTCTTGACACCAGCAGCGTCGAGGGCACCTAAAGACGCAATCAGTAGATGCAAATTACTGACGCAAAAAAGTTACTTACCGCTCTTAACCTTGCTGACCAGGTTTTCCGCCAGGGTGTTGACGCCGGCAGCTGATTGTTCTTGTTAGCCACATTGATTTCTGCCCCAAGGATGCTGGCTACATACTGCCGGTAACAGTGTCGACTGGACCAGAGGCAATGTTCTCAACGGTGCCAACAGCGCCGCCAACAGTGTTCTTGACGGTGCCAACAGCGCCACCGGCAACATCGGTGACAGGCTTAGCAACACCCTCAACGGTGTTGACTGCGCCGCCAGCGACATTGGTGACGGGCTGAACAGCACCCTCAACATTGCCGACTTCGCTACCGGCGGCACCGGTGACGGGCGTAGCAACATTGTTAGCCGTGCCCATGACATCACGCTTGGTAGCAGCAGAGACAGGGACGAGCTTGGTCAGCTGGCCCTTGATGGTGATGAGCTCTAATGGACAGAATCGGGATTAGCGAGGCCGGACTATGCTTTTGGACGTTTTGGAGAGGTTCCTTCAGTAAAGGACATACCGGTCTGAACCTGGGTGAGGTCGACCTCCTCGCAAACGCCGCCGAGGAGACCACCGACGAGACCCTCAACATTGTTGAGAGCATTGTTCAGCTTGCTCAGGGTGGCATCAACAGGGGTCTGAGGGATGGCCAGAGCAGAGGCAGAGCTGGCAACAGCCAGGGAAGCGACGATTCCAGTGAACTTCATGGTGACGGTTGGTTTTGATTAAGAATTAGGAATTAAAGGAGTGACTGAGAGTTGTTGAAAAGAGTGGATGGTCGCTGAAAGCAGGCCTTGGAAGAGATTGACTGGAAAGAGTGGATTTGGCTGGTGGGAGGAGGAAGAGGAAAACAGCTTGAAGTAGGGCAAGACGTCGTTTTATATGCAGGTTTTGTTGCTCCTTTTCCCTCCCAGAGCAAATCATCTCTCTCCTGTCGTGGACCTCATCCGCTCATGAGCTGCCTCGGATTCCACATGTAGATCAGGGGCATCATGGCCAGAGATGTCAGTGATAGGTCATCGCAGCCCACGCCGTCTGTTACATACGAGTCTAGCAGCTTGAAGGCTACAGCGATCAACACAGAAAAGCGTTCTTCTTAACTCAGGTTCCATTATTGCCCGTACTACTAGGCTAGCTTGTATCTAGTCCGCTTGCTTCAGTAGAACGCGTGCTCAGGTTATTATTGAATGAAGTCACTAAACTCTAACATGGCCCCATGCAAGCTGATCTGAGTCCGAAGGAAGTAAGCCTTTCAGGTATGGGGGCGCCCGATTGGTACGATGCCCCTCAGAAGATTTCGCCGAAAGCATGCCATGCAGACCAGGTCCATACTAATGGGCACCGGTCTATCCACTGCAGGGAGCTAAGAGGCCATAGCGAGGTGTGCGGCGTAGGTATCATCATCGCAGAATGTCGCGCTGGTCTGCACGATCAATTTTGTCTTCTCAGAGATGTGGACTGAGGCCAAACTTGATTTTTGTGATGGCTGCCAACTCATAAACACGAGCTCACAGCAGTATGGACGGACATGTCGGATATTGAGCAGTCATTACGGAAATAACTTCAATAGTTGCACTGTGAACCCTGTTGCCGGGCCTCATATCATGACCTGCGGAGGACGTTGGGGCAAACCGCGTGGGGATTTCAAAAATGCTCTCATTTAAAATCGCTGTCGATCCCTTACGAACATCTCCGCAGAACCACCGTGGATTGGAGAAAGAATTCAAATAAACGGCAACGGATTGCTTAACTTGAACCTTGAATGTAAATAGTGTGGATTAGCTGGACGATCGGCAGTTGGTTATTGTTACCAACTTGCCACTATTTGTCCGAGCCATTAGCTGTGCAGTATCCTGATCGGAGGATTATTATCGGAATCACAGCCTTCGGCAAGATCGAGAACGCCACATCTCTTTATTTCGCATATGCCAGTGAGTTGTCGGCTGTTCGGATTGTTGTTGTTTTCAAGGAAGAATCGAGGAGAATGGTTGTTGGTCTAAGGTGGAAAGGTAGAAAAGAGGGAATTGGATCAGCAACCCCTCAGGGACTAACTACCTAGTATTCGCATTATCCCTGCTGATCTGACTCCACCTCTTGGGACATCGCAATTCGACTTTGGGGAAAATATCCCAGTTGTCGAATCATGAAATCCACCAGAGCAACGACCAAAGTCTAATGTATCTCTTCCCTTGTGATAGCCATGTCGTGAAACTTCGACTTTCACCGCAATTAAGCTACCCTTCGGGGCCAGAGAAGAGGATCAGGAATCATATCTATTCCACTTTCATAATAGGGTTCGAAGACACGAGGGATTGGACGAACCCTGATTTCTTTCAAGGCCCTTGTCCGTTTGGCCTTAAGTCAAGAATCCCTACTAAATAGCCTATGCCTCTGCTTCAATGACCAATGAACGAAACGACTCATGCGAGATTGCATCGGAACACAGAGACGGACTAAAGTCATGTTCAAAGGACTATTGACCTCGTGGTCAGTCAGGCTGAACTATAGAGAGATCTTCATCATGTCTATCGTAATTTTATATTTTTACCCATTTTCACTTGGTATGACTGATGTCACGAATTGATTTGAAACGGATCGACTCAGACGCCGAATGTATTGTTAAAATAAAAGACAGCGCCAGAAGAGCAAATAAGACTCGCCATTCTCATGGCAGATAATGAATGTCCTTTACTCTCTGGGGAGATTAAAGCACTCTGGAGATGTTGTACTAAACTTCTGGCGATACAGCTTGGAGGTGTTATGCCTTAGGACCCAGTCACCTGCGCTTCAAGACATACTATCAAAGGAAACATATGGACTCATTTCCCAAGTGGTAGATATCGTCCTGAGTTTAGCAGCAGCGGTCATGGTCTGCACAGTTATCTGACTAGGACCAAACTTTTCTGCCCTCTAATAGCTGTGAATAGCTGCGAATTCAGCCTCATAGCCAGTGTCTTTTGTAGCTTTCACCTTCTGACTTGCTACTCCATATTCCATCGTTCTTGCTCATCCTCAACAGAACTGACCTTCGTGAATATTATGCTGCCTTCAAAATTAGAACTTCTGTTTCTGCCGGAGCTCAGCTCCCCATGTATTCTTTGATGGGCGTTCTGAACACCGTCCCCCTTGGTAGGACATCATCTTTCTTGTTTTCCTTGCTTGCTGCGCCTCATTTGACACTCCCAGCAGCTAAATCTCTCAGTTGTGCTGACTGATTCAATCGGAAGGCTCTTCTTGTAAACGATCCCTCATCTTCCTTCTTTACCCTCATCGTTCATACATTCAAATGCTGCTGACATGACTTTGGGACATCTAGCCCACCTCAAGACTCTCAATCCACAATCTATTCGGGTTTCGTAAGAGACTGCGCAAACTTATGTTGGATATCATGGGCTCGAAGGAAAAGGAATTGCAACATTCGCATTGTGATTCTCTGACAACCTCATACCACCATTCTCGCCCCCGATCTCCCCTTCCACTGGGACTCCTTCTAGCCGAACCACCCGTATCCTCCTGAAATTGACTGAAGTACACCTGTTAGCCCAAAAACGGCAAAACTGATAAGGAGATCCTCACAAGTCATCTATAAATTGATGCAGCAGCGACCACAACAGCATTTCCGGCTCAGACGACAGGCACTGTCGGGCACGAACCCATACTCTTCGCGACATGGAGAGCGTGAGCTGGACACCTGGTCGCACTCTCGAGGGGCACGTTCTGCGCCAACAAACAGCGCCCAGTTGGTGAGCGAGAAGACCATTTCCCTGAGGTACATCATATCGATGAAGCTGATTGGGTATGCGATCGCTCAGTTCAGTCAAAAGACCTGACTCAGAGACGACTGCTTAAAGAGATGTGCTCGAGATATCATTGTACAGGTGCAACAGATGGTTTATATACTCGTATTCATTGCAATTGATCAACTGATCAATGTATCTCGATGATCAAGCTCTGCTTCTGGAAGGTGGCTGATAGTTGCGGTTCCATTTAACTTTCTTTGTCTGACGACGCTGAGCTCTATCCTAAAGGTAATTGGTACAGTGAAGTGACACGAACAATAGAACTAGAAAGCGCATCCGTATCATATTGTACCCCGTTGCAGCCACCGTTCATAGTGTTTCCTATTTCACACCTGATCTGCGCTGTGCCATACCACGGTAGATATGAGGGCTTAAGACCGAGTTCCCAAGTGAATATCGAGAGAAAACAAACCAGCAGAATGAGAATTAAAAGACAGGCAGAGCCTACAATCATCGATAGCCGGAGCACTACCGCCAGGAGCCGTCAACAAGCGAATCATGACTGAGGTATATATCTGTGGGATGATAACCACAACATCTGAGTGAGTCAACTGACATTGGCCTCGCAGGCCATAGAAAAAGGACGGGCAAGATTGCATCATTAATAATGTAAGTTGTTCATTCCGTTTTATCGGGAACCCCGGAAACGCAAACCATCACAGAGACTCAAGACATCCAGCTCAGACCTGATCGTTGGTGTCTCTGCAGTCTGCTTAGAGACTGCGTGGCTGAAATTGGAGGACTAGATGTGGCTGTGTGTTTTGGTTGTGGCTTGCATTGTTTTGTTTGCCTCATTTGCTTGTAGGGAAAACACTGATGTTTACATAAGCATGGCGGCCAAGATGCTGTTTTCTTGGTCGATGCCTGAGGCAACTGTGTTGTTGTCCTGCCAACTCCCGGCACTAAGCCACTTTAGGAACATCACAACATAACAGCGGCCACTTAGCGTGCATCGCAGTTGCCCAAACGGTCTCATCGGCCTCGAGCTTTGGCTTTCTCCTCTATCTCGTGCGGTCTCCGAAACATTATCTACTACTCCTTCTCCTCCTCACTTCTACTTCTGCCCTAGTGTTTATCCTTCTTAAAACCCTCATCCGCAATCTCTCCATAATCCGTCTTGTATATCTTCCTCCTCCGTGGGCCTTGTTGCCTCTTATCTTTACCCTACTTGCATTGTGGGTTGAAACGCCATTCATCGGACAAGAATCGACAGAAGAGCGGACCATGATTGTTTAGATTGGATACATTGTCATCGTTTCTTTTCTCTATTATTTCAATCATTGACCGGCTGCGAGAAGCACTTGGAGCCGCTGCGGTGCCTTTTTTTGCGAAGAGACATTATCTTGTTCAGCCCTCACTCCGTTCGGCTGTTCATCTTATTTAAAGTGCATAAGCTAGCTGCCTTCGAGTGTTTGTCAACTGAAGAGCACAATGTCTGGATATATGGGCGGCCCCGGCCAGGTGATCGAGTATATCCAAGGTTCGTGCTTTTGTTTTGATCCGATCCGCCGGGAAAATATCCTGGGAGTCCAACAAGTTGTTTCGTCCAATATGAACTTCACACTTGCCTGGCAAGCTTTCTGACCACTTGAAATCGCAGATCGCCTGTACCTCGCTTCCTACGACTCCCCACCTGACCCAAAGGCTCCGTTTCCCTTCCCTCTCGAACAATCCAAATCTCCCAGCAAACGATCCGCGCGAGGCCAGCCCCAGACGCCTAGCAAGAAGCGATACCCTGTGTATTTCACCGCAGACGATACTCTCTTTTATAACTCCTTCCATGCAGACTTTGGTCCTCTTCACATAGGACATCTCTATCGCTTTGCGGTCCATTTCCACGAGATCCTTGGCGAACCCGCAAATAAAGATCGAGCGGTGGTCTTTTACTCAAAGAGCGATCCACGGAG